AAGGGCCAGGCAGAAATGCAAAGGCATAAGGAGGCAATCAAGAGAAGAACGATGAGCCTTGCAAGTGAGCCTTTCTCATCAGTGCCACCAGAGGCAAGGAAGGCCAAGTTTGTCCCCTCCAAAAGCAGAGGGCAGAGAAATTGCTATGCCTGCATGGTTCCCTTTAAAAATGAAACCTTGTATCTTCACTTTTCTGTTTGTGCTAACAGTACTTTAACTAATGATGACCGCATTTGCTAGATGGTTGGTTCATGGTGCCCTCAACCCTCACATGACAAAGAGGGTGCAATGTTGTCTTTTCCCTGGGTTATATGGTGAAGGAACCGCCCTGCTATTGACAGCCTGGGCACCTTTTCTGAGACCGTCATTGTGCCCCTGTTATTTCAGAGACTGGGGTGAAACAAAGGGTAGCGTGAAGCAGAAGGGAACCCATTGAGGTAAGGAGTCTGTTAAGCACCTTAGTGATTATGTATTCCAACACCCACTTTGAAGTATGAACCTACTTGAGAACATCCTGATGCCTGGTTATTTAGCCTTTGCTTAAACACCTCCAGTGGCAGAGAGCTCACTCCCTTTCAAAGCTATCCATTCCATCTTTGAACCATTCCAATTGTAAGTAGGTGGAAACAGATGGCAGTGGCAACTCTGTAGCTTCGCCCTATTTGTTCTAGTTCTGCTTGCCTCATGTCTACTCAGAACACTCTTCTCTCCTGTCCTAGGGTAGTCCTTCACATAAATAGAAATGGCCCATTATACCTTCTCCTGAGACTAGCCATACTTCCTCCACCTTTTCCTCATTCCCTCACCATGCAAGTGTACCTGCTAACATTATCAATGTATCTATTAATCTATTAAAGTGACTTAGGGGAGGGCCCACAGTTAGACACAAAAAGTAAAATCCCAGTAGTCAGAAGACTTTCCCAGCGGATTAGGGTCTACCTGGTGGTATAGTTTGTGGCTCCACCAGCGACTTGAACTATTTAACCTTGGATAAGTCCCTCTGTCAGGCTGATCACCACTAAAATACAAGCTCATAGGGGCAAGGAGTTTGTCCAATGCTGAATCCCCAGAGCCTAGAGATGAATGAATGAATGAATGAACAAGAGAAACCTGGCACTTTCCATCTGCAGATTTTAGAGTTGGTGATTCTTTTCCTTTTTTTTTTTCTTTTTTTTTTTTTGGTGGTACGCGGGCCTCTCACTGTTGTGGCCTCTCCCGTTGCGGAGCACAGGCTCCGGAGGCGCAGGCTCAGCGGCCATGGCTCACAGGCCCAGCCGCTCCACGGCATGCGGGATCTTCCCTGACCGTGGCACGAACCCGTGTCCCCTGCATCGGCAGGCAGGCTCTCAACCACTGCACCACCAGGGAAGCCCTAGAGTTGGTGATTATTCATTCTACTTGGAGCCTTCTTTACTTCGTATTACTTCACTGAACTTTACTGGGTCTCAATTTCTACAACTAAAAGTTCAGAAAAACAACAGTGCCCTTTCTCACCTGTCTGTTGTGAGGGAAAAAAGAATGACAAAGTCATCTGTGAATAAAAGACCCCAGAAATTCCACATGTAACTACAAGAGTTGGGGAAAAAGTCCACAGGTTCAAATACAGTACACGTAGGATCTTGTAGCCTACACACCAAAACAAGAGGTCATTTACACGTTTCGTTGCACACACAATGACTTGCACAAGCAGGAAATCGATGTTTGAAGTGACTCAAATTAATCATTTATAATAACCACAAAGGGTTGCTGAACTACTGAAACTTGATTATGTGTAAGAATCCACTCATTTTCAACAGGGATAAATTGAGAATCGCAGATAACCGAAGGGAGTTTCCCTACTGATTCAGTGACTCTGCAGAGACTGCCAGACTTCTATTTTCACAACCCTCAGCCTTATGCAAACTGCTTTAATGTCCTTGTGGAAGTAGTTGGTGTAAAGAATGGGAGAGAGGGAGGGGCAGGGTTGCAAGCTTGCCTGGGAACAATTTTTCTACCAGTGACACATTGTTGGCCAAGGGGTGAAAAGAAAACCAAAACAGAAACCCACCTACTCACCCCTCTCCATTCCCAGAGAGAGGTGGAGCCCAGAGGCAGAACAGTGCAGAGTTGGAGAGCAGAAAGCTACTCCAAGGTTTGTTCCTGGGTGTGGGTTTGCGGCGCTTGGAACTACATTTGTTGAATCACAGTAAATCGAGTAGTATGCAACATCATGAATGAGGAACACTCCGTATTGCTATTTGGAAACTGGATACGAGGCTTCCAATCTCAAAATCAATGCAACTTTCTCCAAGGGTCAGCTATTCAGAAAGTCTTGGCTTCAACAGAAGGTCTAAGCTATATGGGCATTCAGGAGGATCTGACCAGTCTTCCAGACAGAAACATTTCCACTGTCGTGACAAAGGGATGAGGGCAGTTTGGCTGGGTTGTGTTGTTCCCTTAAGTGTGTGGGTGGAATGGCTTCTGTAGTTAGAGGGCAGGGACCGGGCTGATTCATCTTTGCAACCCCCTCACTCGGGAGCAGCAGCCAACGCCTTCCCCACCCTTCACCACCACCATCATCACTCCCTCCTCATCTCACTTAGTTTCTCTGAATCTGGATCCCATAATCATGTCTCATCAGCATCCTCAGGTCCCCTCCCTCCTTGCCCTTCTCACTGAACTAGCGTCATAATCCCTCAACACGGACCAATTATACATCTGGATTCTCACCTGCATTGTCCACTTCTGGGGAAAAAGTTGTTCAGTTGTGAAAATGGGTACCCCACAAAATACCAGGCAATGAACTTGCAGTATTATCTCATTTGCTACCTCTGCCGGACAGGAATTATTATTATCCCCATGAACCACATAAGAAAACTGAGGCTCAGTTAGTTCTTTTTCAATGGTAGATTTGAGGAGCATCTTGGGGCGATAGAATTATTTTTATTTTTGACTTACTTATTGGTCAGCCAGGAATAGTTGCTGCTATTTTAATTTTATAATGTCAGTGTCTTTTTGACGCCCCACCCATCTTGATTAAATTATCACTTTATTTGGTCAAGATTTTTTGGAGCCCATAAGAGGAATGACAATAGAAACCAAAAGTGTTTGCTTTCCTTAAATCTCTGAAGGTGACAAAATCTGGAAGAGGAAATGAGGGTGAAGTCCCAAGTTTCTGATTGAGCTCTAGGAATGAGGTGGCAGGTTTCTTTATATCATCTATTATTATTTTAACATCTTTATTAGAGTATAATTGCTTTACAATGGTGTGTCCGTTTCTGCTTTATAACAAAGTGAATCAGTTATACGTATACATATGTCCCCATATCTCTTCCCTCTTGCATCTCCCTCCCTCCCACCCTCCCTATCCCACCCCTCTAGGTGGTCACAAAGCACCGAGCTGATCTCCCTGCGCTACGTGGCTGCTTCCCACTAGCTATCTATTTTACGTTTGGTATGTATATATGTCATATATTATTATTATTGTCACTAGAACATAAAGTTCATTGAATCTTACTGTATGAGTTAGTTTTATCTTTAACCACTCAGCTCCAAGAGAATGCCAGAAACTGCTAATTCTCTTCCATGGGTCTTCTCCATATCTTACTTCTGGAAATGATGTTCAGGTTTTTTAAAGATACACTGTTTCTAAGTTGAGAAATGGGAGAAACCATGTTCTAATGTATTCCTTTACTGATCTGTGAGCACTGCCTTCCCAAAGCCTTGCCAGCTACTACATGGCTTGTCAGCAGCCCTTTGGGTATTTCCCAAAGTTCACTCCAATTCAGTAAGAGTCAGCAGTGAGGTGTAGCACAGAACGGTCAGGGTCCCAGCTTTTCCTGACCCAAACTTGCTGTGACTGACTTTTAGCCAGTCCACTTCAGTATCTTCACTAGCAGGGAGTGGACTTCTCTTGCTACTCAGAGTGGCCTGTGGCCCAGACCAGCATCACCAGCATCTCCTGGAAGTACAGAGTGCCGGCCCCCCCAGTCCTTATCAATCAGAATCTGCACGTTAACAAGATTCCCAGGGAGGGTTCACATGCACATCAAAGTTTGAGAACTGGATTCTGAAATACACACTAACAACCGTCATTCTCCCCTTGCCCCAGGAACGAATAAAATAGTGAGGCGACCTGGGTTTGATGCCTGACTCCGAATATAGTTCATCTCTGACTTGGGCAAGCTGCTTCCTCTCCGGAGCATCACAACATTGAGGTGTTTCTCCTGATTAAGGAGAATGGAGCTTAAACGCCCAACACCCACACAATTCTGACCCGACTTTTCTAACGATAAAGCGAGAAACAAAATCCAGGCCGAAAAGAGTGGAGCGGGGTCACTGTTTTTCACTTCATTTTAATTTATAGGAAAATTTAAATACAATTCTAGGTGGAACTTTTAAACGTTTTTTTAAAAATTATTTGAAAACAAAAGCATTTAAGTCAGATCCATTTGGCTTTCCTTGCAACCCTGCCAAGCTCTTTCCATTCCCAACTACCATCAAGGCTGGGACTCTTCTCACCAATTCACAGCTCCGGAAGAACAAGTATACAAAAAGCTGTTTAGTTGCCGGGCTTGACAGCAGCGAGGCCACACCTTAGAACACCGGCCGAAAACTAGCGCCAGGAACCAACGCCACCTAGCGCTGCAGGAACACCCTTCACCCGGGTCTCCGCCTCCTTCTGACGAAAGTAGCCGGGAGGCGGGGCTAGTATCAATATGAACGGCCACGTTCTCCACGTCTCCTAGTTCTACACCGGACGCTAAAGACCGACGCACAAGTTTGGAAGGTACCATTCTTTTAATTTAATCAACTTATCAAAATTTGAGATATTCATAGGAAATATATTGAAAATTAAGTCCTCAGACCACTTTACATTTATTTCCCATCATAGTGTCAAATATGAGATATATAAGTGGTGATTTGAAACAATTATTGTGTTTCCCTTCAACTTCGGGCCTTAACTACTTGGGCTAGCTCATACGTCACTTCCGGAGATCTATCGCCTAACTATCCAAAAAACAGGAGCGGGTACGGCAAGGAAGATTCGTGTGCAGACGGGGCAGATATGGGTCGGAGGAGAGCGCCGGAGGCTGGGATCCTCGGTCGGGCTCTTATCCGCCAGCAAGTTCAGCGGAGCCGTAGCCATCGTCAGACCGACTCCTGGGTAAGACGTTGTCATCTTTCCCAGTCTGTCTAGTTATGAGAGTCTGAAAGCTGCGAAGCTTGGGGTAAGAGGTCACAGGGAAATTTTCCAGAGGAAATGATGCCAAAATAGGGTTTCTAAGGATGAGTGCAGTCGTCCCCCGTTAACCGCGGGGATCGGTTTGGGACCCCCCCCAACTCCCCGCGGATACCACAATGCGCAAATGTTCAAGTCCCTTAGAGCCTACCAGGCAGATAAACAGGCCCTCCTTCTAGCAAGGCACAGGGCCCAGAGGTGGAGGCTAATGTGGTGATGAAGTTGCAGTGAGATCTTGAATGCCAGGATAAAAGTTTGGTCTTTGCCCTGTAAGCCATGGAAGCGTTTGGAAGTTTCTGCACAGGAAAGACATAAAAACGACTTTTCGTGTTCATTTGTTCAAAGAATTGACCCTCCAAGAGCCGCTGGTTGGTTCCAGAAGTACAAAATAACTCAGATTCCTGCTTCACCCTTTTTATTCCCTAGCGGTTTCACTCAAAGATGAACAACTTATCTCCAAAGCGTGGCGGGCCTAATAGTTCCCTGGGCCTGGGAACGGTCATAATTTTTAGGATCCTTGAAAAGCGAATGAAGTAGTTTGACTTGTGTTTGTCATTTTGACATTCATTCCCTCATGTATTTGAGAACTCACGAAGTTCTCTGTAAGAATCTGTGCAGAGTCAAAGGTGTCTCTAATTATCCATGTGCACTTCACACCATCTAACTTCCATCTGTGTAATCTGCAGAGTAAACAGCATACAGAGCTCATCAATATTCATCAGGTCAGAGTTACTCTGGACATTAGATTACCAGTAATTTTAATTCATTTTGAAGCAACCTGTTTTTAATGTACCCATTAGGAAGTAGTGGGAAGATTCGATTATGAATTCTAAAGAACTGAATTCTAATCCTTATGCTGATTTTTGCTGATTCTGTGGCCTTGGGCAAACCGCCTAGCCTTTTAACCTTTAATTTTTTCATTTACTTGCACCTGTACAGAGTGTAGAGCTTAGGATGGTGTTTATCTTATCAAACTATGGGTTGTGTCTGGAAATCAGTTCAGTAACTCTCAACTAGCCAGGTTTTTCACCCTACAGAATAGAATTCAAGAAAATACCAGTCTGTGTGGCATGTAATAAAGTAACTTTGTTTCAGGATTCTTTTGTTTCCATTTTACTATACTGAATGGTACACAGTTGTATCACTAAGTTTCTCACAGCATTTGGGTCACTATGTGAAATGTATTTCTTACTGTGGGTCTCCGTCAAAAAAATTTGACTAACAGTGGCTGCCAGGACCAGAGTATATGGTATATGGGTTCAGGTTCTTACCTCTACCACGTATTAGCTTGCCACTGTAGGCAAGCTGTTTTATCTAATTTAATCCTGTTTCCTTATCAGTAAAATAGAGATACAATAAAATTTATCTTAAAAGATTTTGAAAATAAAATGAGAAAATAAATGGAGAGTAACTATCCATCTGTAAGATGGATGAGAAAGTGAGGCAAGAAAGTGCTCATTTAAATGTTAACTGTTATTAATTTTGACTCTAAAGGGGCTGATACCACTCTTAAGACCATAGAATAGTTACTTGGGAGTTAGTTTGGATGTTAAGAACAGAAGAGAGCAGCTGTATTACCACCTTGTGTTTTATTCATAGTTGCACACAAGTGAACTCAATGATGGCTATGATTGGGGTCGTCTTAATCTTCAGTCCGTGACTGAACAGAGCTCCCTGGATGACTTCCTTGCCACTGCAGAACTTGCAGGAACAGAGTTTGTAGCTGGTAAGTTGTTGCTGAGTGCCTACAGCACATTTGTGTCTTTGCTGACTATATACAAATAAGTCTGCTCGGAAATGTTTTGCCAATCCTACCAAACTCATAAAGGAGCTGTCTTTAATCCAAAGGCAGATATCCCAGAAGCAGTGTGGGAAGGTCGAGATGAACTCAACTGGGAGGTACAGAATGTGCCACAGTTTTCAAATTCAGCTCTAAAAAACACTTCAGGTTATCCATCATCATATCAAATTCAAGAACCTCAGTCTCTCATAAGGAAAGAGACCAGTCAACATTACAGTGGACAATACCAGCATTTTCCAGAAAATATTTTCTGATACCGTGGTTAGAAGCAAAATCCTGGGCCTGCTGCTGTAACGTAGGCAATTTGAGTTGTATTTTAAAGCACTTGTTAACACATTATAGTGAATTTTTCCATGCATGTAATTTGTTTTAGTCACTGCTTTCCCTTTTTTTGTTTTTGTTTTTGTTTTTTCTAAGCACTTAGAAAACTACCTGGCACAGAGACAGCATGATAAACTACCATTTCTATTGCTCATCTCTTATTATAAGTGTTATGTTGTTGTTTAGCAAATTCATTCATTTGTTCAAAATGCTTTTATTGAGCCCCAGCTACTCTCAGGTATTGTACTGGCTCCTGAAAGTATGGTGTTGACTAAGACAAATTTTGTTTCTGCAGAATTTTGTCTAAGGTGCTATAAAAGAATTCTGTAGCAGAGAATAGGGTCATAAAAGATGGAGTTGGTGTTCATTTCTATCTGAAGGAAAACTAGGGCCAGTCAGGGCAAGCTTTACCCTGGGGCTGAGTCTTAAAAGATGAGTAGATGTTAGCAGGACAGGTGAGATGACACAGGACATTATACACAGGCAGGCAGAGCACTCCAAGCTAAGATCTGAGCAGCAGTCTGCTTTGTTCAGAAAATGGACTGAGTGAACCGGTGAGGATGATTATAATTTTTGTGACTTTCTGTTTGATTAAAAACAAAACCCCCCCCCCAAAAACAAAACAAAACAAAACAAAAATAATAATGTGCAAATAAAATAAAATAATGTGCAAAAAAAAAAAGAAAACGGTTAGGAGCTTCGCCCTGTTGGTGCTTAAAGTACATGGGGACAGGATGTGATGCACAAACACTAGGGAGGAGGGCCAGGGCCAGGAGAGAATAAGGGCTTGAAAGGAGTCTTTAGAGGGATGTAAGCAAGTAGGAAACATTTTTTGAAAGATCACTGATGGATTTTGAGGAAGAAAGAGTAGTTAGGAAACTATTGCTTTAGTACAGCAAAAGAATCAGGCTAGAACTGAAATAGTAGTAGTAGAAGAATGGAGAAAAGAATAGGAACAAGATTTTTAGTGAGCTAGAATAAACCAGACTTTATGGAGGGGGTGGAGTAAGTGAAGAGTGAGGAGTGTCTTTTTGCATTTCAATGAGGACCCCTAAATAGCTTCAGGATGGGGGTTGGTCTTGTGAGCATTGTAAGGATAATTAGAAGGTTGGAATTTTTAGCCCCACTGGGGAGAGGAGAGGAGCTGGAGATTAATCCTAATGACCGATGACTTGAGCAGTCATACCTACATAATGAAGTTTCCATAAGCCTTTCAAAAATCGGTAAGAATTCCTCATTGAAATTAATTTCATGCCTTTTTCCCTTTTCCTTAATAATGTAGAAGTGATAGAATTTTGTCTCAACTCTCTATGACCTTCAGACAGCACTTGTCTCCTGGATACACAGGGACAGGGATTTAACCTGGAGGCTACAAGTTTCAGCTGTGAGCCCCTCAGATTGCAGGCAAAATTGGACGTGTGTGTGTGTGTGTACATAGTGCGTTTTGAATCAAATTAGGTCCATGGTTTTTAAGCCGGTTCTCACATGGATCCCTGACCTTGCAAAGGAGAGCAAAACAATGAGAAATGCTAAGTGTTCACTGGGAACTCTTTACCTTTAAAAGATGGCACAGGCCGTACTCACTTCTTATGTTCAGCAAGTAAGAGGAAGATGTGATATTGTGATATAATAAGAAATACATTTATATTTGGTCTTCATCTCTGGTTCCTTGATACAAGAGCTTCTAAAACCCTTGTAATTTCTTGAGTGGTAGGGGTGAGAGGAGTGTCTTTTGTTGTTCATAATAAGCCCCTTGCAACCTTACTAGAGTTTATGCTAATGAGGTGACCGGTGGGCCCCTAGGTAACTTCTTTGTGGGGGCTGATTGCCACAGAAACCAACCCTGGGATTTGAGGGTTGGGACTTTCAGAAACTCCTCCCTCAGCCACCGGGGAACGGAGTCGTCCTGGAGATTGAGTTAATCACCAGTGGCCAATGATTTAATCTATGGGGCCTCCGTAAAAATACATTCAGAGATTTGGCATCTGAAGTGGGGAAGTCACTGGATAATTAGTGTCAGAATAGAATTGAATTGTAGGACACCCAGTTGGTGTCTGGAGAGTTGGAGAACTGGCTGTTGGTGTGGGAAAACCCACACATTCGGTGTCAGAAGTGTTGGTAGTAAAAGCAGTCCAGAGACGGGTGGCTCCATTATTGTGTGATTACCTCCAGCAGAACTCAGCATCGTTACTGAAATGAGAACGAGAATGGATAGTTGGCTCCGTGCAGTGGGCTAAGGAATTTGATGTTTGGTCGGAGAGTGGTGGAGTGGATGGACCATATGGTTTTAGCCAAATAGGGAAAGAAGTGAAGCTACAAGCTGGGTGGTACACTGGGAGAAGAGGAAAGAATCAAGGGGCGGGAGACGATTACAGAGGTTGGCCCAAACAAAGTGGGAACACTGGGTGGGAGATCACCATTGGAAAGAGGAATTAATGTGAAAGAATTATCCAGTATGGGGCTAAAGGGATGTGTATTCTGACTGTTGGTTGAGGATGACATGAGTGAGAATGGTGACTGAATTGGCTGTACTCTAGGTCAGGGGTCCCCAACCTAGGTACCAGTCCACGGCCTGTTAGGAACCGGGCCGCACAGCAGGAGGTGAACGGTGGGCCAGCGAGCTAAGCTTCGTCTGCTGCTCCCCATGGCTCGCATTACCACCTGAAGCATCCCACCCCACCCCCACCCCCCACCAGTCCGTGGAAAAATTGTCTTCCATGAAACTGGTCCCTGGTGCCAGAAAGGCTGGGGACTGCTGCTCTAGGTGACTGGACCGTGCAGTATTGGTGGTCCAATGAGGGTAGCAGATTGCGGTCTTTGCCTAAAGGTTAAGAGGCACATTGCTGAAGATGTCCTGTTATCCTTGGATAGGACCTCCCCTTGGCATTTTGGTAAGAAGCTTAGCTGGCTTCTCAGGTGCTTATCTCAGTGGAGTCACCTGCCCAGGAGACTAGGTGGCCATGTGTGGTACAGTAGAGGGGCCTGGAGCAACTTGAGGGGGATAGAGCCCTAGAGCAGAGGTCTCTGGTTCATACATAGACTGGGCGTTTTTTTATTCCTTTGAATTCTTATATAGCTTAATTGTGGATGTTCATAAATATTTCATATAAATTATAGCTGTGTGGTAATTTACCAGTTCTAACTGGAGTGAGTCTCCTTGCTGAATCTTTGCTTCCCCCCTCACTCCCATTGGCTTACAATTATCCTCCACATGTAAAATGAGGAGATTGGTTGTAATGAATGTTTACAATACCTTCCCACTCTTATTGCTTCTGTTTCCATGAAATGCATTTAGCATGTGGAGTTTTATAAAATCAGTACTTGAAAAAGTGGTTGACCTTTTGAAAGTTTTAGTAAAGATCTGTTCTTGTATTCTTTTTTGTGGGGTGGCTGGAAAACTTCCTTTAGAAATTATAATTAATTCAAGGCTAGGGGAATCTATCTAAATCGGGAAAGCTTAAATTCTGTTTTAGGTGCTCCTATTTTTAGTTTTCTAAGTAATGACCAACATTCACTCTCTATACTTCCTCTTAAATAACAGTACTTTTGTTTTCCTACAAACAGAGAAGCTTAATATAAAATTTGTGCCTCCTGAGGCTAGAACTGGACTACTGTCTTTTGAGGAGAACCAGAGAATTAAGAAACTCCATGAAGAAAACAAACAGTTCTTGTGTATCCCAAGGAGGTGAGTTGAATAAAAATATAGGACATTAAAAGGCGTAACAAGGCAACTAAATATAAAATTTTTTATTTGGTGTTCACGTTTTTCTGCTTTCTTTTCTCAGCTGCTATTATTAAATCCCCATCTCCTATATTATTTTGGTAACTCATGTGGAATTTTTTTTTCCTTCATGATTGTTGCAGACCAAAGTGGGACCAAAAAACTAGTGCAGAAGAACTCAAACAGGCAGAGAAAGATAACTTTCTAGAATGGAGACGTCACCTTGTCCGGTGAGTGTTAGTCTACAGGAAGATTTGCCTTGAAATGCTGAGTTAGGCATTTTAGTGTGCTTGCATTGCTATTTGCATTTTGAAGGCTTTGTTCTTTTAAAAGGGAAATGGTAGATTTCATCTTATAAGTGCAAATTGGTGCGTGTGCAAACCGCATTGCTTTGTGCACGTGTGTCCTTGCACAAAGATGGTGAGTTGATTGCTCCATTCCTGGCCTTTTCTCCTTTTCATACCCTTCTCTAGCCATTAGTAACCCCGGAGTTGATCACTGCTCTCTGGAGCATTCTTCCAAGAAGAGATGTCTGGGAGAAATGTCACTTTGTGTGTTAAATAAACTTTCAGGCCTTAAAAAGCTTAAGTATAAAATTTGCATTTGATTTGCATATTGACTCAGCAGAAAGTATATAAAAATCATTTGACAGTTAATAGTTGTGTACTTATTTTTTTAATGCAGTGAATTTGGGTGTTTATACTACTTGAACCCTACTATTATAATCTGGCAGAGGTATAAGCTTCTCATTCTAAAATCAGGTTGGAAGAGGAGCAAAACCTGATATTGACTCCATTTGAAAGAAATTTGGATTTTTGGCGCCAGCTCTGGAGGGTGATTGAAAGAAGGTAGGTTACCGTTTTCTTTTTGTGTAAGGAGTATGTGGTGGTGGCGGTATATTAGATTGGGAAGTTATATATGTTTGTGAGCCCAGGGAGGGGCTGAGGGGACAGGATCAAATTAGGCACAGTGCTACTGAGAATTATTATAAAACCTGAAAGTAGGATACTATATTTCTTTTTAAATATAAGGGGTTTTTGTTATTAGATAAACACATTGATAAACTTGCAAGAGTGGTGACTCTTTTCTGTAAGATGAGTTCTGAAGCACCTGTAGTTATTTCAGCAAATGTATATGAGTTCCTACCGGTAATACGGAAAATATGGCTGGGAGGTGTCTGCTTGCAAAGAGCAAATATGTTATGGGGGAGGCCAAGCAAAGGGCCAAGCACCAGGGGCACACAGATGGATGAAACGCGATCGTTGCACTAAGGTATTAGTAAAATACAAACTGGAGTGTGATTCCTATTGTATTAGAGAGAGGGTAGTGGGCTGAGTCAGAGCAGAGGAAGGAGCAGTTAGTAGTATTGGGGGAAATTAAGGAGTGATTTGTTTTAATCGGGCTGTGAAAAGAAGAGAATGCCTTTGATAAGTTGAGACTGGGAGATTTTTTAAGTCTTTTCCATATCCTGATAGCTAAAAGGTTTTTATTTTTGTCAAAGAGTGTATGAATTATTTATAAGGATTCCATAAATAAACCTTTTTTTTAACACCTTTATTGGAGTATAATTGCTTTACAATGGTGTGTTAGTTTCTGCCTTATAACAAAGTGAATCAGTTATACATATACATATATCCCCATATCTCTTCCCTCTTGCGTCTCTCTCCCTCCCACCCTCCCTATCCCACCCCTCTAGGTGGTCACAAGGCACCAAGCTGATCTCCCTGTGCTATGTGGCTGCTTCCCACTAGCTATCTATTTTACATTTGGTAGTGTATATATGTCCATGCCACTCTCTCACTTTGTCCCAGCTTACCCTTCCCCCCCCCCGTGTCCTCAAGTCCATTCTCTAGTAGGTCTGCGTCTTTATTCCCATCCTGCCCCTGGGTTCTTCATGACCTTTTTTTTTTTTTTCTTTAGATTCCATGTATATGTATTAGCATACGGTATTTGTTTTTCTCTTTCTGAATTCACTGTATGACAGACTCTAGGTCCATCCACCTCACTACAGATAACTCAATTTTGTTTCTTTTTATAGCTGAGTAATATTCCATTGTATATATGTGCCACATCTTCTTTATCCATTCGTCTGTTGATGGACACTTAGGTTGCTTCCATGTCCTGGCTATTGTAAATAGAGCTGCAATGAACATTGTGGTACATGACTCTTTGAATTATGGTTTTCTCAGGGTATATGCCCAGTAGTGGGATTGCTGGGTCATATGGTAGTTCTATTTTTAGTTTTTTAAGGAACCTCCATACTGTTCTCCATAGTGACTGTATCAATTGACATTCCCACGAACAGTGCAAGAGGGTTCCCTTTTCTCCACACCCTCTCCAGCATTTATTGTTTGTAGATTTTTTGATGATGGCCATTCTGACCGGTGTGAGGTGATACCTCATTGTAGTTTTGATTTGCATTTCTCTAATGATTAGTGATGTTGAGCATTCTTTCATGTGTTTGTTGGCAGTCTGTATATTTTCTTTGGAGAAATGTCTATTTAGGTCTTCTGCCCATTTTTGGACTGGGTTGTTTGTTTTTTTGATATTGAGCTGCATGAGCAGCTTGTAAATTTTGGAGATCCTAAATGAACCTTATTTTTGAAATGATGCTTTTAACAAGGAGCCCTTAGGATGTGGGTTTGTTTGTTTGTTTGTTTGTTTAGTCCATAGAATAAACCCAATAAGAACACTAGGAAACAGGGTGCTTTAACTGGGACTCTCAGGAAAGCATATTAGCACATTTAGCACTGTCGCTAGGAAAAAGGACTTGGATTAAATTTGTAGAAGTTATTTACATTTCTTTTTAGAGAGATGAAAATGATCTGGAATTAGATAGTGGCGGTGGTTGCACCACTTTGTGAATATACGAAAAACCGCTGAACTGTACATTTTTTAAAAGATGGAACTTATGATATGTGAATTATCTCTCTCTCTCTTTTTTTTAAGTCACTTATATACTCCCCCCCCACCCCCGCTTCTTGCTCCCTCAGGGGCAGAGAGGGCTGTTGGCCTGGGATGTGAGGAGGCCAGAGTAGCTAGGCAAATCTCTAAGCCTGAAGAAAGGGGAAGCTTGCTCCTGATCGCGGGCTCCATGCAGGCTTGAATGGGGCTTGGGAAGACCCAGTATGGTTCTCCCAGGGAACAGAGTGAGCTAATTTCTCCATCAGGGCCTCATTAGCATTTGGGATGTATACTGCTGAAAATGTCTGTTTTCTTATTTCCAAAGATAAATGGTAACAATGTGAAATATTGAAACCTCACCCTTGAGGGAATGCCCCCATTTGCACGCTTATAGTTTACTATTTAATTCTAGATTTTCTCCTACTTCCTTTATTGTCTGTCTTCCCTCTGCATTCTTTTTTTTTTTCCTACTTATTCTGGTTTCTGACTTTTATGTAAGAGGCCTTCCTCCAATGTCAAATGATGTTTGTTGTCTGTTCATATTTAAGATCAAAGCATTACAAAGCTGATTGACAGGACTTTTGTTTGGGTGGAGTTTGCCCACTGGTGAACTTGACTGTACAGTAACTGAGCAGGGGTCAATTTTATTTTACAGTATCTATGGGTGTTTTCCCTAGGATCGGTCAGTTTCTTAAAGAGGAGGACTATCTCCTGCCAGGAGCGGGGCTAAAGGTGGCGGTGTAATACAAGGGAGCTGGGCGTTTCCATCATTTGGGGTATAGACTTATGTTTAATCCTCCTCTCTTCAGTATAGCACCCCTTTCCCTCCCTCTCCTGTGCTTGAGGCCCCAGTTCAGGAGCCTCTCAGGTTCATTTTCTCCAGGGCTCATTTTCTCCACAGGGGCTGTGGGGTGACGTGTGGCTGCCTGGCTGAAGGGAACAGGGGCATGGACCTAATTGCTCCCTGCTGAGAATGATTTCAGCCCTACACCTCACTCTTGCCATGAAAGCTAGACGCGATGCTTCTAATCCTGAGCTTTCTCGGGGCTCTGGGGCATGAACAGGCTCATTTCTCATTGGGCTGACATTTCTTAGTTGCTGTTCTTTCTTTCTCTTTGTCCTGATGAGTTCCAGTCTTTGCTTTCATGTTTTGCAGGCTTTGAGAGGGAACAGAGGTAGCCATATGTGTTCTTCCAGGTTCAGCAACAGCAAGGCCCTTCCCTTGCTTTTCATGCCCCTAAATAAGCAGTTTGTTTCCCCAGAGTGAGCCTGTACTGTTGAAACTTCTAGCTTCTATTGCATTACAGCATTACTTGCTCTTTTACTTTTTTGTGATATTTTTCTGTGTTTTTACAAGAGAGAACATGTTCCTGACTCAGGGAATATAGTTTATATCGCACAGAAGTGGATCTGAGTCACATAGAAACATCAATAAAGTGACTACTGCTGTGTCTTTTAATAGGAAATATTTATTGACATGTTCTGTACAGCAGATGTCTCCTGTTTGGTAACAGGCTAGCTACGCCATCTGCCTCTTTAATTTCAAGAGTAGCTATGAGCAAAGATTTGCTGTATACTGTGTCATTGAAATGGCGGACACTGCCGAGGCACGGAGGGCAGAACGCCGTATCCCAGGAAGACGAGGCGCTTCCATTGTGTTGCATCAGCCTTCCCAGTACATAGCTGGCACTTTTCTAGGCATCCTAATTCAGCACACGAAGCAAGCTGCCTTAAACTTTTCTTCTTTTCTTACTGGTGTGTCTAAGCTGGTTATTCTTTCTACCTGTTTGGTAGGTAGACATAATGTGTGTGGATCTTGTAATTTTAGTTCATTAGGCTTTGTCCATGTTTTGCAGTCATTTTTGCATTTACTGTTAAATCCTCACAGTTGGAAAGTGGTAGATATTACCTTAAAGAAGGAAATACTAGGACCCACTTAACTAGAGAACTTAGAAGCAATTTGTCATAAATTAGCAGCTCTGTGAGTTTCTTTGACTCACAAGATCATGCTGGAAATTTAACTCTTCTGAAGGAAAATGCACTTTGTCAAAAGCTCTGCCCTAAATGGTAACCTTGATTTAATACATTTCCTTCAGTTGCATAGGAGTTACCTGAGGAAAAGCTGACCAGATACGGATTTGCGGGAGACTGGTGGAAGGTGGTAGCACATCCACAGCTTGTTTCCCTCCAGTGGCAGTCACAGCTGGCCCTTAAAGCAGCTTTCCTAGCCACAGGGTCTGAAGGGAGGGAGGATTCTGCCGGAGAAGTGCAGTATTTATTCTTACAGTGCTCAGCTGCTGTCGTCCCCACTACATTTGTGAGGGATTCGAGGGGCTTGCTGTCAGCTGCAGAAAGTTTTCATATTGCTACATCATCTTACATGTGATGGAAGGCGTTGGACTCAACATTCCTGCTTCATTATGGCAACTTAAGTTGATATTTTGCTGTTTTGTATTTTTGCCATTTAAACACATTCTTGGAACTGGTGGGTGATGATTTGCTACATGTACACACGTCTTTAAATAAGATATAGGCTTTGATGGTGGCAGCTGTGAGCAGGTGATATATTAGGGGTTTTTGAGGCCTTACTTAACACAAGTGTAAACTAGGCACTGAGTATACAGTAGACCTCACCTTGGATTGAAGTCTTCGGAATACTCTTTGATCTCTCCAGGAGAGTTTACTAGAAGATACAGGTAAAAGTTTTAACAATGAAACATCATCAGAGACTACAAGCTCTGGTCCAGAGTGCTTGCGTTCTCATTCCAGCTCCCTCACTTAGTAGCTGGTGACCTTGAACAAGCCACTTAGCTGTTCTAAACTTCAGTCTCTTCGTATATAAACTGGGGATAATTGCACCTTAAAAAGTTAAATATACCAGTGCTTAATATGTCGAAAGTGTTTGCTACTATTTCCTTTCACTTCACAGTGATTGGTGTATCTCACATTTGTTTTTCAGTGATATCGTGGTCCAGATAGTAGATGCTCGAAATCCACTCCTATTTAGGTGTGAGGATTTGGTAAGTGAAATGTGACATGATTCAAACTTTAAGTCCTTGGGCAGCAGTGGGAGGACAGCATCACCGATAGCAGTGAGCCTGGGCAGGCCTTTGCACCCTCCTCTAGCTTTGTTTAATCTGGCCTCCTGCTCCTCCCAAGGTCAGGAGTTTGCATTTTGGGACTGTTTAGATAGGTGTTTTCTTCAAACAGTCGTTTCCATCTGCAGGAAGGCACAAACACTTGAACTTCCTACTTTTAGTTTCGAAGCCACTTTGTTAATAGGCATTTGCCAGTGTTTCTCATTTTTTAAGAGACTCTAGTTGAAATAGCATTTTGCTTACTTTAGCATATGCCTAGTCCCTTCACTTACCCATCCCACTAAGCTTTCTCTTCTCACACCGTACTTATTACCTCCTGTGGTATTTTACCAATGAACTAAATTTGTAAAACACCACAGGGGGTAATCATTAAGGTGTGAGGATCACAAGAAATAATGTGATACAGGCTTTCAATTAATAAGACACTGAACACACATGAAGTATTCCTATATTTGTTTGAGGACCAGAGTAGGAATGGTACTGATTATTTTAAAATCCACTGGTGAATAACAATCTTAATGGGGAAACTCTTATTAATTCAGCTTTCATACTTCTGGTCTATTTCCTAATGGAGAGCTGTGCTTGGGAATTAATTTAATCACTGGGTCTTGTTTTCCTTTTAGCCTTCAAAAATATTTTTTTATATTAATAGGTAAGATTATTGTTAGCTATCGTCACTTGGATTGAAGATAGTCCCTGCTGGCCGACAAATCTAGTTATACAGTTCTTTAACTTTGCTTAAAAGAAAGAATTCAAGATTATTAAAGAGAGGAGCTATATAATTTAAAGAAATAAGAACCTGTTTTACTTAAACTGGGCAGGAAAGCATTTCTTTTTACCCTTTCCAGTTTCTTATGTGAAGAGTATTTTTTCTAAGTATAGATGACCTAACTTCTTTTCAGAGCTTGCTGAAAGGATCCATAGAATGTATCACGATTACAAATCTTTAAATTAGGAATGATTTAAAACTGGGGGCAGTAAAAACTTTTAGTCATAGCTGGGGATCTTCAGTATAATTAGCCTAATTTTCCCCCTTTTGGAGAAATATCTGAATATCTTTATCTTGCATAGGAATGTTATGTGAAAACAGTTGATGACAACAAGGAGAATGTTATTCTGATAAATAAGGCTGACTTGATGACTGCCGAGCAGCGGAGTGCCTGGGCTGAGTTCTTCGAAAAGGAAAATGTGAAGGTCATTTTCTGGTCGGCTTTGTCTGAAGCCATTCAACTGATTGATGACTCTAAGGTAACCTGGGGGACTTTTTCGGGTTGGGTTTCAAGGAGGAGGATTTTGGCTTCTGTTAAGTGTGCTCTGTTTTTTTTTGTTTGTTTGTTTGTTTATTGTTGATGTGTGGGGTTTTATTTGTTTCTTTTTTCCCTAAGTGCTGAGATAGTCGGGTGATCTATAGAAAAGTAAGCCACAAGGTTGCTTTCTCTGGTTTTTAAATAGTCTGCTATCCCAGGGGTCTATGATGCACACTGATAGTAGCTATAATTTTTAACTTTTAAAAATTTTAGGCAGAAAATTGTATAGGAAGTTTCATTGCCCTTGTATGTAATTGCTTTTAAGAGAAGTCAGAACAAAAAGTCAGATACAACTGAATGTAGTAACTTCTCTGGACTTGATTAGACTCTCTTTTGACTTTGTTTTGAAAACAAATGAAATAGTCCTAAATTAAGATATACCATGTTATTTTCTGTATCTTTTAATCCACTTTTTACAGAAACAGTTTAGGAGTTATTTTCTAGTAAAAATTAATGGTAACCAGATATGAAAAGAAATTAGTAATAGAATCTTAGAGGTGGAAGAGACTTAAAGTCATATCTTTTCCTATCCACCTCCTTTCCTCTCACCTCTATTTATCAACTATTTGCTGACTGGTTAGGGTGCTATGAATACAGCACCCTCCCTTGGTGAGCTCACAAGTTAGTGAGCTCTAACTCTGTGAAGGAGTTCTTCCCTTCACCTCCCTGGCAGTCACATGCTGTCTCTGTGACTCCTTTAAATGGCAGACACCAGGTGTCTCATTCCTTTTTATCTCCAAGGTTAGAAAGTTGTTTAGTCCAGTGAAGCTAAGTCAGCTTCCCTACCTTTGATCTGAGGCCTCTTCCTCTCTCCCCGTGTTCCCTCTTCTGCAGAAGAGACGTTGTCTGCTTTCCTGCTCCTTATATTGACATGACCTCCAGAGCACTCCTCACCCTGAGCGCCTGTCTGCCTGTGTCAGACGCCTAAAGTGGGTGGCAGCTGGTTGAGTACGGTATTCCAGGTGTGGTTTGCCCAGGACATGTACTCTTATTTCTTGTGATCAGGATACTTCCAGTAATTCAGAGGTTTTTTTAACTCACCCCCTTTCAAAGGAGCTTATGCTCTTGGCTCATTGAACCTGTGAACAGCCACATCCCTCACATATTTAAAAGACAAGACTTACTAAGCAGATCTCATCCTGTCTTTACATGTGGGAAAAGGTTTTCGTTTTGGTTTTAGCTCAGCTTAGGATCATGCTGTTCCTCTTAAATATTAGTGATTTGGGAACAAGGTAGAATTCATTTTGCATGTGTCATTTGCTTTTCTCTTCTTCCAGCTTTGAGGCATCTGCAGCTTTTGTATTGGCCCTTCTATGTATTCTTTCTGGTCATTGATAACGCTGTTGAGTAGACCGGAGCCAAGGATAGAGCTCTGTGAACTTTTGTGGACTTAATAAGCGCTCAGTACCAAGCATTTTAGTGTGATGCATACAGATGTATTTGAAAGGCTATAACAATAGTTATTGTTATTACTGTTAATAAAAACTAACCCATAGAAAACTTATTCTTAGCCAGGCACTGCTTTTCTGAGTACTTTATGTGTTTCATTTCATCTTTTGCATCTGTGGTACTCCCTGACCTATCAACCAAGGAGTAGATTGCAAAGGGAAGTGGGATTTGTTTGCACCATCTGTTCTCAGGGAACCGTTGTTGCCTCCCATTACTGTCAGGGGAGGAATTGTTTGGAGGAATTTCCTAACTTGAGGAATTGCTTCCCTGTCAGACTCTGGATTAACAGTGCGTGATTTTTGGAAGATATTCTTTCTTCCTTTTTAAAAGTTGAACCCTATTTATTCCTTCCAGGTCTTCTGAAATCTGTTATTCATGATTTTCCAAGTCAAGTAGCCAGCTACCATTGTGATATATCTAATCACATCTGTCATTTGAGTGTCAAACATGAACTTACCAAAAATAGATATTCACTGTTTTCTCACCTACCTGAAGTTTGGTTCTTTCTCTATGGTTGCTTAACCTTTCTTATTTTAAAAAAATAGGACATATTTTTGAATTGAGTACTTTGGTTTTCTCTTGGCCATCTCTTAAATGGCACTGTGTTCCCCCAAAAGACTGACTTTTCCCTTCTTTCTTTCTATTTTTGATATAACTACTGCAAAGTCCTTTTGTTGCCTTTATCATTTTTCCTGAACCAAAACTGCTGCTAGGCGTAGTTTTCCTAATACACATTCATGCTCCGTTTACATTCTTGTGTCTGCAGAAGAGCACACAGTGACTTCTTTACATTTATTGCTCATTTATCATAGAAATTGCTTCCAATTCCATATCTCTTTTTGAGCTGCCAGGAATGACAATGAAATCATACCTTTTTTCCCTGACATTTTTTTTTAATATCTCTTTCCTAAAATGTAGGATGCCTGTTTAACTGAGTTCATCATGCCCTCTCCTGTGGTGGCTACTCATTGTAATGCTAGACTATTTGGAAATGATAGGTTTCCATCACTTCTAAATCTGAATCAATTCTCCCTTGTTGATACTGCTTGGTAATACTATAAATTTGCCATATTCCTGCTTTGCTATCCATAGGAATTCAGAAGGATTAACACACCCATGAATCGTAAATGATTTTTACCTTTCTCTTTCCAAAGGAAATCGTTGGTTGGTGAATAATTTCCATGCGCAGAGTTGAGTTTTATTGCTCTCATACTTCACACACGGGGACCTGTGCTCCATGGTGCTATGATTTATTAAAGGCAGTTATAAAAGAATAGCAGTCTCCTTAACTATGCAAACCACTGTCTTTGAAAATGCAAATATACAGTGAAGCTCAGATTACAAATTATACCCTTCTTGCTTTGTGCAGAGAAGAGAATGTTAAATGTTTTATCGTTCATGAGAAATGCTTTGTTTTATTCTACAGCCCATTGCAAAAAAAGTGTACTGCCAAGGAGTTCAGCTTGATACAGGTTTTTCTAAACCCTTGCTTTCTTTTAATAGGTAAAACAGTTATCTACTAGAAAAGTAATACATGTTATTTGTACAGAGTTCAAATAATACAAAACTGTGTAAAGTGAGGGTCCACCCCTCCAGAGGACACCACTGTTGATAGTTTGGTTATATCCTCATGCTATCTTCTCCCTCTATTCACCTTTCTTTTTCTCCTTCGTAACTTTCCTTGTCCTCTGTTCATCTTAGGTAACCAACTCTGAATGTTGTTCACCACAGTGAAGAGTGCAGTTGTTACACACTTCTGAACTTTTGCGGTTTCTGTTATTTCATCAGGAAGAAGTAAATGGAGACAGCGCAGAAGCCATCACAGCTGAGTTTGAAAACTCCAGTTGTGACGAAGCTGAAACTCTACACAAAGAGACTGAACATCTTTCAGTTAATGAAGTTGCCAGGGGTGATGAAGATGACAGTGAGCATGAGGACTGCGGGCAGGAGGAGGAGGACTGGCAGACGTGTTCGGAAGAGGGCGGCGGCCCCGACGAGCAGGCCTGCGGCCAGGATTGGAAGGAGCGCTGTACTGTGCGTTCTGAGGCGCAAGGAAGGAAGACCCCCCGGCAGAGGCAGATACACAATTTTAGCCACCTGGTGTCAAAGCAGGAATTACTGGAGATCTTTAAACAGCTACACTCTGGAAAGAAGGTGAAGAATGGACAACTTACTGTGGGACTGGTAAGATGAAATGTATCATAAAATTGTTCCGTGAGGGTCTGTATTCCCCATCCTTTGGTAGCTACACTGGAACTCTAGAGATCAGGCCCCGGCGTCATAGGGAACATTGATGCCCTCTTGTTGCCCACGGGCATCCTGGGAGCAGACTGGGTGACAGGCAAAGCCCAACTCAAAGAATGAACTTTCTCACGGCTTATATTGGTCACACCACTGTTCATATTAATTATCTTCTACAGTCTCCCAGTTCATCCCTACCTGTCACGTCACTTACAAGAGATACTAGAATGAGAGCTTTCAGGGTTGTCTTCAGACTTCCAGTCCAATGTTCTTAGCTTTAGATAGGCTTTTTACATAGGGTAGGCTTTCGGCATCCTGTGATCCTTGCCAACTTATACTGTAAACATTCCTTCTGACACCCTTCTAGGTGGGCTACCCAAACGTTGGTAAGAGTTCAACAATCAACACCATCGTGGGCAACAAGAAGGTGTCTGTGTCTGCCACGCCCGGTCACACCAAGCATTTTCAGGTATTTCTACAGCGTCGGCCTCTGTGTTTCCTTCTCCGCCAGTTCCTCCCTCTGGGTGTTTTCTGAAGTTCTTTGCCACTCGTGTGCTGCTGCTCTCCTTTCCCTTCCTGTGCTGTATGCCCAGCATAAACCTCTTACGTGTCTTTCAGACTCTCTATGTGGAACCTGGCCTCTGCTTATGTGACTGCCCAGGCCTGGTGATGCCGTCCTTTGTCTCTACCAAAGCTGAGATGATTTGCAGTGGAATCCTCCCGATTGACCAGATGAGAGATCACCTCCCACCTATATCACTAATATCCTCTATGCTGTGCCAAAATTTTGGTTGTTATGTGTATATTAGGGCTTAAGAAAAATCTGGGCAATAGACAGGGGAGGAAAAAATAATCACTCCTTACATAGTTGTAAGGATTAGAAACAAAGACTCGGTGCTTTATGTATGAATTAGGGTCATCTCACAAATCTATAGTGTATTTACATAAAAATGTGTCATCTTTAAGGTCTGTTTTCAGAGATAATATTTTTAAAGGATACATTTGGAAGTGATCATTGTGCATAAGGCTTTGTTTAAAAGAGGGGAGAGGGGATTCCCTGGTGGCGCAGTGGTTGAGAGTCCGCCTGCCGATGCAGGGGACACGGGTTTGTGCCCCGGTCCGGGAGGATCCCACGTGCCGCGGAGCGGCTGGGCCCGTTAGCCATGGCCGCTGAGCCTGCGCGTCCGGAGCCTGTGCTCTGCAACGGGAGAGGCCACAACAGTGAGAGGCCCGCGTACCGCAAAATAATAATAATAATAATACAAAATAAAAGAGGGGAGAAAAGTCTTTTAAATTAACGAATAATCGTACTTCTTCTTTGGAGAGGTGAAAAGTTTTTTTGTCACAGAGGTGCTGAAATACCATGTTCTTAGAAGACACCATGGGGAGGAGGAAGGGGTCAGTTCAAAGAAATGGATTCCTTGACAATCTTACATTTGCCAGAATATTCCAAGACATGTTTTAGAAGCTACGTATGGCATTGACATCATAAAACCTAGAGAAGATGAAGATCCCCAGCGACCTCCAACGTCAGAAGAACTATTGACGGCTTATGGATGTGAGTTGTGATTTATTTTAAAACATGAACAAAAAATAATAGTATAGCTACTAAGAGGAATACTCTGCAAAGGTACAAGTTCAGAAGTTTTCCTTAGCATTTGTCATGTCACCTTTCAGGCTTGATATTTTTGTTGTCCTGTTGGTCTTGCCCACCAGGTGGCCTCCAGGTAGCTGACTTGGTCCAGCAGTAAAGGAGGGAGAGCCGGCCACTGCCTGAGTGGTATTTTACTTCAGTGTTAAGTGCTTTTTAGAGTTAGAGAAGGAGCTGCTCTGTATCCTTTGCCTCTTCCCCAGGTCTTCATCATAGAAATCAAGTGCCTGGGAGACACATCTTCCCAGGCTCTCTCAGGCCCTTTCCTATGAGAGGCCTAGGACCCAAGTGTAGACACAGGGCTTCTGATCTAAGGCTATGTTGGCTTTTTCCTTTTCTGCATGGGAATTATCTTTGTCTGTCATTTCTCCAATTCATTGTGATTTATTTACCTTAAACACAAGCTTTAAAGGTAATCTGGAAAGACGCATATCTACCTAAAGAAAAAGCGGTGTTAAAAAAATTTCCATGCATGTGTGGCTTGCCTTGTAAGGAATTGCCCCCAGCCGGGAAGGAGTTCAGGTTATTTGAGTATTTACTGGCAGAGAAAGGTGATTTGATATAAACCACACTTATATGGTTAAAATCAGACCTTGAATTTACTTTAGTTGAGCGACTTTAAAGAGGATGAATACTAAGCACTTGTTGCAAGACTGCTATAGTCACAAAATCATAGGACAAGAAGGGGCCTTAAACATTCCCCCACCTCTCATCCCCCTTTTCTTAAGACAAGTAACCTGAAATCAGAGCATGAAATGACTTGCCCAAGGTGGTGTCTGGTCAGTGGCATAGCCTCAGTGAGAACCCAGATTTCCTAATCTAGACCTCTCCAGTGTGCTAACCTGAAAGATGGGGAAAGGTAGACTTTGCACTAAACTTTGCATCTGGTTTGATGTCCAGATAAAACTGAAAGAAATGTGAGTCTTTTAAGATTTTTCATCTGATTCTCTCTGATGAAATCAAAGAGAGTGAGGACAAAACCAGTTTGTAAAAACAGATGACTGAACGTTCTTAAAATATTAGTGAAATTCAACATCTGTCCATATATTTGTTAGCCATTTTGTCTTCTGAGAATCACTTTTTTCTATGCATCATTTGTTTTTGTCGTAATGATTTGTAGGAGTTCTTTGCTACCTGTGCTGCAAATGTTTTTCCCAGTGTCTATTTATGGTTTCTTTAGCCCTGTAGAAGTTAACGACTTTAATAAACAATGTTGTTTTTTTTGTTTTTTGGGGGGGTGTTTTTGGCTGCATTGGGTCTTTGCTGCTGCGCGCAGGCTTTTCTGTGGTTGAGGCGAGCGGGGGCTACTCTTCATTGCAGTGCGCGGGCTTCTCGTTGTGGTGGCTTCTCTTGTGGAACACGGGCTCTAGGTGCACGGTCTTCAGTAGCTGCAGCGCGCGGGCTCAGTAGTTGTGGCTCGTGGGCTCTAGAGTGCAGGCTCAGTAGTTGTGGCGCACGGGCTTAGTTGCTCCGCGGCATGTGGGATCTTCTGGGACCAGGGCTCAAACCCATGTACCCTGCATTGGCAGGTGGATTCTTAACCACTGTGCCACCATGGAAGCCCAACAATGTTTTTCCTTCTTAGTTTTGTTGGGTTCGGTGTTTTACTTGGGAAAAACCATTTTACTGTAATCCTTTTTCTTTAATCTTTAGATTTTTTTTTTCCTTTTCCTAAATGTTTTTTTGTGTACGGTTCTAAGTATTGATACTTTCTTCTAAACTGAAGGAACCAACATACAGCTAGTATGGGAGGGAACTGAGTTTTGAACCTGTCAGCCAAAGCTTGTGTTCTTTCCCGCTGTGCTCTGCTACTCCCTTCTAATTGAGTTAGTATTAAAGGGATCTTCGTTGTATGTTTGGGAAACTGAAAAAGGTGTAGACGTATCATTAAATAAGAAAACTTGCTCTGTTGCTTTGGGTTTTGCTAATAATATTGACAACATAGCATTGTACAAGTAGCCTCCTTGAATCAATAATTAAAATCAGAGAAGAAATGACTGGAGTAGAGAGAGACTGAATGTGTCACAGCATGTTGCTAGGTGGTTGTCAGAAGATCAGATGTAACAATATAGTCTGTTCTCCTGGATTATCAGATGTTTTTGTAATGCTAACCAAAATATTTTCTACATTATTAATTGATTTGTTTTTTTTTAAGGTTAAGTAAGAATGCACAGTGTAATAACAGAAAAGGCTGGATTTCCATCACCTCAGTTGTCTTTTGTTGTGATGTTTTCTAACTTTTTTGCAAAATTCATTTCTCCTCACAGGTATGCGAGGATTCATGACAGCACATGGACAGCCAGACCAACCTCGATCTGCACGCTACATCCTGAAGGATTATGTCAATGTAAGTGAACCCTGCTTCTCGTTCCTCTGGAATAAGTAGGTCTTCTTTCTCCACAGCGTATGTTTAGGGTAATGGCAACCAGCTGGGTTATAAAGGAGATCTCTTCTCATTGATATTGTGCCATAACTGGAATTATATTCTTGATCCGGGAGAGCTAGCATCATATAAATCATAGAAGTGACTGACATAATATGAAAGAGATGAAGATCTCTGAATACCTATTTGCAGTGAAGGTGATAAATTTATGTCTCCAGTTTTCCCATCTCCTCCAGCCCTTGGGTGTTTCTACTGCAGCTATATCACAGTATTCCTTGTAGTGTAGCTGTTTATATACCTGTCTTCCAACACTTGCCCAGTAACAATAATAATCATAGCTAACATTTATTCAAAGCTAGCCCTGCTAGGAATAGTTCTAAATGTTTTATGTTTGTCATCTCATTAAAAATATGTAAGGGGCTTCCCTGGTGGCGCAGTGGTTGAGAGTCCGCCTGCCGATGCAGGGGACACGGGTTCGTGCCCCGGTCCGGGAAGATCCCACATGCCGCAGAGCGGCTGGGCCCGTGAGCCATGGCCACTGAGCCTGCGTGTCCGGAGCCTGTGCTCTGCAACGGGAGAGGCCAAAACAGTGAGAGGCCCGAAAAAAAAAAAAAAAAAAAAAAAAAAAAAATGTAAGTCTGTGAGGTATTATTCTCCAATTACAAGTGAGGACATGCTAAGTTTTGGGTTTTCTTCATCAGTAAAATAGGAATTAATAGTACCTATCCCATGAGATTATTATGGGAAATAAATGAGAACAGTGTATGTGTGTGGAGACATACACACACACACACACGCACATCACTAAGCTCAGTGCCTGGCACTTAATTAGCCCCAATGGTTTTTATTTATTAAGCTACTTCTTTCCACAAAAAAGCATTCCAGGGGCTTAATTGGTTGTGAGGATTTCACTTTATTCCCTCCTCTTCTCAATGCACCATCAGCGGAGCTTGGAGCATAGAAATAAAAGAGGGCAGCCATATTCTCTTTTTTTTTAATTCGGTAGGAAAACAGTTAATAGAATATTTGTATAGATGAATTATTCATTCATTTACCATTTGTAAAACTATGGAGGGTGGGGGAGATGAGTTAAAAACAACCACAGTTTTTAGAGTGTTTATGGTGGAAAGAGGAAACTTGGCACCCAGTGGACAACAGCAGCAGGCCCAGTGTCCCCATCAGTACAGCCACACTGTCCAACTATGTCCTGGCTTTTGTTTTGGAAAATATTCTCCTAAGTATACTCATATACATGTACTGAAGAATACGGTAAACAAGGTGAAAGGGGGCACAGGGAAGATTTCGTTCTTGTGTGGGAGCTGTGGGAAGAGGTAGGCCTCTAGAATACTAAGGATCATCATCAGGGTGTAAGTTGGGACTCTCCGGTTGCAGTGACCAAAACTCAGCTCAGCTGTCAAATGGCCGAAAGTTCCATCAGAGTGTGCACCGTGGAGAGGCCTCCTCTGTGGACTCTCACACAGATGGCCCTGAGGATGTGCTGTTACCATGCATGTTGTCTTTGCAGGGTAAACTCCTGTACTGTCATCCTCCTCCTGGAAGAGATCCTCTGACCTTTCAGTATCAACACCAGCGACTCCTAGAGAAAAAAGCGAATGGTGGGGAAATAAAAACGCAGCCACGCAGAAATAAAAAAGCAAATCAGATTGAAAATGTAGTGGACAAAACTTTTTTCCATCAGGTAAGTTTTAAAGTTTTTTTTTAACTTCTGATCCAGTACATTTTGTATAACAGCTTTATTGAAATAACATTCACATACCATAAAATTCACACTTCTAAAATATACGGTTCAGTAGGTTATAGGATATTTGCAGAGTTATGTAACCATCACCACTCACTCCGAAAAGAAACCCTGTACCCATTAGCATTCACTCTCCACTCCCCTCTTCCCCCCAGCCCGTGCCAACCACTAAGCTACTTTCTCTATATAAAGATTTGTCTATTCTGGACGTTTCATGTAAATGGAATCATATGCTCTGTGGTCCTTTGTGACTGGCTTCTTTAGCCTAATGGCTTCAGGGTTCACCCATGTATCAGTACTGTATTCCTTTTTACTGCCAAATAATATTCCATTGAATGGATAGACCACATTTTGTTTATCCATTTATCAGTTGTTGGACATTTGGGTTGTTTCCACTTTTTGTCTATTATGAATAATGCTGCTATGAACATTCATGTGCAAGTGTTTGTGTGGACATATATTTCATTTCTCTTGGGTATATACATTAGGAGTGGGATTGCTGGGTCATGTGGAAACTCTTAAGTTTAACAGTTGAGGTACTGCCAAACTTCCCAAAAGTGGCTGCACCATTTTACATCCCCAGCAGCAATGTATGAGGTTTCTAATTTCTCCACATCCTTGCTAAACTACAGAAAAGAAGTGATATTTAAGCTGAACTTTGAGGAACAAATAAAAATGTGTCAGTTGGAAGAAGCGGTGAGGGCCAGATTTCCATGCAGAAGGAGTAGCATGAACAAAGGCAAAAAGATGTGAGAGTGTGGATTTTTTCAGTAAAGAACCTATGTTGTAGGTGGCCTTGTGTGCCACGTGAGGGAATATGAACTTGATTCCCCAGGCCACAGGCGGCCATCAGAGATCTGTGAGGACAGGACTAGAGAGATACAGAATAGAGCACTCTGATAGAAATGTGCACACGGGATTTGAGGAGTCTTGCAGTGAAAGTGAAAGTTCAGTGAAAGCCGATGAACACCTGGGTTAGAGCAGTGGGGACGGAGAAGAGGGGGAAAGATGAACAAAGTTCTTGAGAGTGGAATCCACAGAACTTAGTGCCTGGCTGTGTGTGATAGATAAGGAAGACAGAGTGTGTGCCATCTTCAGGGCTGGGCAGATTCTTATACCACTGGCCGAAATAAAGAATGGAGAGTCAGCTTCTAACTAACTTTGGGTTGCGGCCGGTTGAAGTTTGGTATCAAGATAGAGATTTCCAGAAAATAGCTGGTATTGAGCCTAGTTATAGATGTTGTTTGAAGCCATGGACTAAACAAAGTTGAGGACAAAGAGAATGGAGTGAAGACAGAACACTGAGAAACTTATTTAAGGAATGGGGAGAGAAAGAGGACCAGTGAGAGATGGAAGTCCACTGTCTTGGAGTTCTCCATAAGCAGTCCTGTGCATATCCTGTAAAGGAGACTGCTGACATCGCCAATAATATTTTCTCTTATTTCCTAGGAAAATTTGAGAGCTTTGACCAGAGGCGTCCAGGCTGTGATGGGCTACAAGCCTGGGAGTGGCCTGGTGACGGCAGCTACTGTGAGCAGCTCTGAGATGGGGGCTGGGAAGCCCTGGAAAAAACATGGCAACAGAAATAAAAAAAAGAAAAGTCGTAGACTCTATAAGCACCTGGATACATGAACTTGGGCTACAACAGAAGTAGCATCTGCACTGTGCATCTCTGGTGCTACAGGGTGGACCCTGCCCTTGTGATTCACACCCAACAGCTGATATCAAGACCGAGGGGCTCCTCAGAGCACCAACTCCAATTAACAGGGTCGTCTTGGAGCCCCAGAAACCTGTTCCTGTAGGAGGCTGAATCTGAGATGAGGGAATCAATGATGTATGTTTATTTGTGTAAACATATATACAAATGCATAGTAATTTGTAATCTGGGAATTTTTTGAAGAGATATTAAAATTAAATTGCCACATGGATTTTTTATTTGTTCGTGTAGCTACACTGCAATTTGGATATTTCACATTATTTAAACAATTTTAATCTGCTAAAACATGCTGGGATTTTAGATGGATTTTTGAGTACATTATAAGATTTGTGATTCTCCATCTCACACACATACCCAACACACACCCCTCATATGGCAGAAGGCATATCAGATCTTGGAATGGGGCTAGCACAGGTGATTTTTAAAAGCCCTTGAAGAGCATAATCCTCTGTTGAAAGTCGCCGTGAGTCTCTTCCCCAGAGGGGAGCGTGGGTTTTTCTATAGCCAGACCCACAGCGAGTGAGGAAAGTGGCAGCTAAGCAGCTGGTTCTTGTTTTAGGTGTAGGGATCCTTGACGTCCTTAGCACTTAGGACCATCAGGAGTAGTTGACCAACAAGGGCAGTTGACCTTTTACAATCACCTTTGTAATACACTATGGCTGCTTCAGCCTCTCACTTCTTTATTTTTGCCTCTCTTTTTCTCTGAGCCTCATTATTCCCTTAATTCAGATCCTTACCTTGTTCTGTGTCAGATATTTTTGGAAATCTAATGGAAGTTATAAATGCTTTCTCCAGAAAAATGCACATTCCCACCCACACAATTTTGAAAAATGTAGCAGAACATTCACAGGTCCCCAGAGTTCATGAATTCACTGTTAAGAAGCCTTGCCTTGGGAATTCCCTGGTGGTCCAGTGGTTAGGACTCTGCTTTCACTGCCAAGGGCCTGGGTTCTATCCCTGGTGGGGGAACTAAGATCCTGCAAGCCATGAGGTGTGGCCAAAAATAAAGGTGTTAAAAAAATATTTTTTATTTAAAAAAAATTTTCTTTAAAAGAAGGCTTGCCTTTAACTGACCATAATGTATTTGGTATATTTGAAAATTGTTATATATGGGAAATTAAAAAATTTTGTTCATTAATAAGTATTCATTGACCAAATTTTAATTTTCATGAAGTCCAAATTTATCTTTTTTTGCCGTGGTTGCTTGTGCTTTTGGTATTATAATTAAGAAAGTATTGGCAAATAAAAGGTTACTAAGATTTACTCCTGTGTTTTTTCCCAAGAGTTTTAGGGTTTTAGGTCTTAAATTTAGGTCTTTGGGCCAGAGTTGATTTTTGTATATGGTGTGAGGTAGGGGACAAACCAACTTCATTCTTTTGCATGTGGATGTCCAGTAGTCCCAACAGCATTTGTTGAAAAGACTAGCCTTTCCCCATTGAATTATTTTGATACCCCTGTCAAAAGTCGAACGTAAATGTGAGGGCTTATTTCTTGATGTATGCCTTTGATATTTAACATTCGTGGGTGTGTAACAATTGTGAAGAGTATCTGACTCAATTTCCTAGCAGGTACTGCTGGTAAGAGATGATGTCTGTGCAGATGCCCCACCCACTCCACATCCCTTAGACTAATTGGAGTTCGCCTGCAGCCCAATACACGGTTCCTGTGCAGGCTCACAGCTTTCCACAAGCCCTGTGTTTTCTGCTTTCCCACCTGAGGACTTTTCCTGCACCCCAGGAGCTTGCTCAGCCTGCACACAGGGCAGTCTAGAAGGGCTGGGGGCTCAACACTCCCTGGGGTAACCCCCAACCAGTAAGGAATGGGGGTCAGTTGGTAAGCACCCCAGCTTCCCTTTCACCCAGTGTGTACATTCTACATGTTCTTCCTCAGTGGAACTGAGCCCCACTTGCCCACGGCTAAAACTGTCTCATTAACTCACCTTTCCTTTTCTCCCTTCCCGGTCTCACTCCCCTCTTCCTCATTTCTGCTTCACGGAAGTGCCACCCAAATAAACTAACTGAACCTAAGTCTTTGCTTACAGTCTGAGGAACCCAAACTAGGACACCGCGAAAAGGGAATTTCTATTTTCACCTTTGCTTCTGCCCAGAACATGTCTCGTTAAGCATCCTCGCAATTTTTATTTTTAAGTATTCTCACCCTTGTTTTACAGGTTAGTACTTAAATTTACGAAGTGCAGTCATTATCACACTATCAAATTTTTTTCCAATATTTAAATACAAGGACTATGCCACCCTTTTCAAGTAGAACCTGCTATACATCTGTCATCTGTTTACTTTTCAGGAAATTAGTAGGAAGTGTGGTTTCTCTCAAGAAACCAATAGCAGCATATGTTTTCTTGGTGGGGAACCAGGAAAAATTTGGCAGCAAGCCAGAAATCTACTTAACTCCCACCTTGTTTTACCAGCCTTTTCCCATCTTCAGTCTTTGTGGAGAAGTGAGGAAAATCGTTTTAAATTTCCACCCTTAACAACCATTTGTTGTCTGTTGTGTTCAACGTACTGTATACCAGGTGAAGGTGAGAGGCCCTACAGAAAGGAAAAATGGTGCTTTCAAAAGTTTCCAGTATAGGGACTTCCCTGGTGGTCCAGTGGTTAAGAATCCGCCTTCCAATGCAGGGGACGCAGGTTCGCTCCCTGTTCGGGGAACGAAGATCCCACATGCATGCTGCAGCTAAGCTTCCGTGCTCTAGAGCCTATGCGCTGCAACGATGCGGCCAAATAAGTATTTTTTTTTAAAAAGTCTCCAGTATAAAGAGGAAACAACAACCATTTTGAGCAATTTAAAAACAAAAGGCATTATGTTAGCAAAAAGTAGACCCTCAATAAAATTTTTTAATGTTTTATTGAAGTGCAATATGTATACAGAAAGTGCACAATCGTAAGTGTACAGATAGCTGAATTTCCACAAGCAACACATTGATGCAGCCAGCACCCCGATGCAGGCACAGAGCATGACCAGCACCCACCTAACCACTGTTCTAACCTTTTCGCCTCACTTTATATTATATAGAAACAGAATCAACGGTGTGTACCCTTACGTATCTCACTTTTTTAATCAGGGTTTGTGAGATTCGTCCATATTCTCACGTGTAATCGTCAATTGTTCATTCTCATTGCCAAATAGTATTCTGTGGTGTGAATATATCACAATTTATCTGTTTCATTATTGGAGGACTTGTAGAGGGTTTCTCAGGTTTGGGGGTTTTTTAAGTTTTTCAATTAATAAACTTTATTATTTAGACCAGTTTTAGGCTCACAGCAAAATTATGCAGAAAGTACAGAGAGTTCCCATTTATCCCCAGTCCCCACACACACAGAGCCTCCCCTACTGTCAACATCCCATACCACAGTGGCTCGTTCGTTACAATGGATGAAGCTACAGTAACACATCCTTATCACCCAATGGGTTTTGGTTTTTTAAAATAGTGCTGCCATGGATGTTGTAATACAGTGCTGTTCAACAGAACTTTCTGGTATAATGGAAATGTTCTATAATCGGTGCTCTCCAGTACGTAACTACAGCCATATGTGACTATTAAGCACTTAAAATGTGGCTAGCGACATCATCAGAAGTCAGCTGCTAAAGGTAATGACTGTTAACTCCTGCCTGACCCAACAATCAAAGGTCAGTATGATGAGATTTCTTTCAGAGTTGGGGAGAGTAGGGGTAAATTTCACATTTATAATTTATACATCTTGTCTACTTCTAAGTAGGCAACACACAGTGTTAAAACACTTATAATCTTTTGGATTATAAACCATTGAGCTTTTTTAAAAAGGATTTTTGAATCCATAGTAATTTTCAAGAAAGGGAGAGGAAGGGAAACCTTTTTTACAAAAGAGCCCCAGGGAGAAAATGTAGAAGGAATGATAGGATCATCATTTTGTAACCATCAACGAAATCAAGGATTCAGGCAAGATCACCAACGGATGCTGAAAGCACGGAGTGAAAGGTCGTCGTGGAACTGGATAGTCACACCCCTCTAAGTATCACCCACCCTTACTTATTAAATTCAAAGGGAAAGTGCTTTCTACAAGGGAGCAACCTGGCAGCCACTACGTTAAACAAGTGATCAAACTCAGCATCACCCGTGGAACGCCAGCCTGGCATTCTGCACCCCCGATGCAGTGTATTAGGGAGTACACGACATCACCTTGTACTGCTTTTGCAAAAGCACTTAACCTCAATATAATCACGAGGAAACAACTAGATGAATCCCACATTTGGGACAATCTATAAAACAAGGGACCTGGGCTAAAGAGACACACAGCTAAATGAGTGAATCCTAAACTGAAAAAAAAAAAAAATCAACTACATTACTGGACATTATTGGAACAACTGAGCAAATTTTAATATGGATTACATTTTTTTCTTCCAGTTTTATTGAGATATAATTGACATACAGCACTATGTAAGTTTAAGGTGTACGGCATAATGATCTGATTTACATGCATCATGAAGTGGTTCTCACAGTAAGTTTAGTGAACATCCATCACCTCATATAGGTACAAAATTAAAGAAATAGAAAAAATTGTTTTCCTTGTGATGAGAATTCTTAAGATTTACTCTTAACAATCTTCATATATAACATACAGCGGTGTTCATTATATTCATCATGTTGTACATCACGCCTCTAGTACTCATGTACCTTATAACAGGAAGTTGGTACTTTTGGACCGCCTTCATCCACTTCCCCTCCCCCGCCCCCATCCCCGGATTACATGTTAGATAAGATTATTGTATCAGTGCAACAGAAGTGTGGTTCTGAGGAGACTATCCTCGGAGGAACATGCTGATACATATTAAGGGTAAAATGTCACGATACCTGCAATTTCAAATGGTTCCGAGTGGAGACAGAGAGACAAAACAAATGTGGCAGAACGTTAACAGTTGGTGAATCTAGGTAGGTATTCTTTCACCTTTCTGTAGTTTTGAAATTTTTCAAAATAAAAAATCGGGGAGTGAGGTGTTGTAAGAGTTGACAGTTAAATACCATAAGGGCTCAGGAGCCATTCAGAAGCACAGACAAAATTGTACCAGAAGACTACAGAATCAAACAGTTACCACGATTAACAGATACACGCAGAGCTTCTGTCTTTACTCTTGGCCTTTGCTGGCTTTTAGGCAGGGTGGTTATCCAGCTCCCATACTGGCATGTAGGAACTTAGCAGGATGCTGGTTGCTTTCT